GTGTTTGGGACAAGAGAATCTCTGTGATTAAATGAGATGCGGTAAAGCAAGATCTTGTAAGATCTTGCCTAAAAACTTGAAGTTTGGTGTATCGGTTATTTGTGTGATTGGACCAGCTGCCTTGGTCTGAAAAAATGTTTCGTTCCGATCTCTTCAGCTGTAGAAAAGCATAAAAGAGTAGATTTAGACACTGAGATTTGAATTCGGTTTCCGTTTCTCCACCTCTCCTTTAAGTTTGGGAAGAACCAGGCTATTTTCCTGAAGAACTGTTTGATGATGCAATCTCTCTGTCTGTCTACCAGACCTTCTGGATAACTTGAGGGCCTGTTGGAGCCCTCCAAGTGTAGACCTCTCAGAGGTATGAGGTTTCCATGGTTTTATGAAACCTAAAGAAGGACCCACCTGTTGTCCAACCCCATAAGAGAGGGAGCCCCTTATCATTGTGAGGAGTAGCTGGATGATGTTAGCAGCATAATTCCTACACATGCTGGCATTTTCTTCCAAAGAGAGGGTGAAAATGGTGGGGAGCTGGTAGAGGGGTGGGGAGCAAGAGTAAAGATTAGGAGATACAGTATCCACATCTGGTTTGGCTTCCTCATTTCCCCTGCTCAGGGTGTATCTTGTTTCTCATTCTGTTTCCTTTGCTGCCTTTTTCGTTGGTTTGTTTATCTCATCTATCAAGTTTATCATTATGTGCTCATGCACATAAAATCTTTATTAGCCATCAAAATTCTCTATTCTCTGTTTTAATTTTCCTTCCTTCTTTCTTCATTAACAAACTCTGCTGATTGCAGATGTTTCCCATTTGACAACACCTGTGACTAAGGTTTTCCAGTCGTTCAACCAGATGAGTGCTTGCTCCTTCCTCCAGCTTCCCTGCTGTACGGGACAGTGCCATACCGTGGTAGAAGCATGGAGTGAACCTGCCCTCCCAGCCAAACCTGGAGTCTTCCTTGAGATCTGTAGTCCAGAAGAGAAATAGAAGTTGGGCCATGATCTCAGGTGTGGTCATAGACAGAGGTGTTTAGGGTCCACGTCCTTGTGCTTGTTTGGTCTCTTCAAAGTGACTGGCCGAAGGAGAGATGAATCAGGGTCAGTGCTGAGACTGAGAAGGTCCTTTGTGCTTTGTGTCCCACTTCATCTGTTCTCAAAAGTCCTTGAATAGCAGTTAGATGTTGGTCACGTCTGCTTCCCACCAACTTGGCCTGACTTGGTCCCTGCACTGGCAACATCAAAAAACGTATTTCCTCACTAGTTCTGAGGGTTAGTGATCTCACCCCTGTTGTAAGTGAAAACTGGGTAAAATCGATTTCAGGTGCTTTGCCCCAATTTTCGCAAGTCAAAATGCTGTACTGGTACCTTCAACAAAAGCACCTAGTTTGCTCATCTGGTTTTAATGGTAGGTCCATTTCTTAAAACATACCTTGAACAGTAAGGAACCGTGCAGTTTTTGGGTGGGTGTGTGTCTGAGTTATAGTTAGGCACCATAAACGTCCTTTCCTTTTGGACAATGATGAGAAGAATGTTTCTGCACCAACATCTCTTGAAATCCTTCCTACAAATCCTTTGGTAGAAAGTCTTCCAGGAGGTTGTTCTGCTTTGGACAGGTAGAGTGAATAAATCATCTTCTGGCCCAAGCTTTTTATGATCCTTTAATCTTAACATTTTTTCCAGAATATCAGTTTAAGGGACACCAGTAAAACATTGGCACTGTCCATGTGGGAAATGCATAGCCTCTGATTTGTGTCCTCTCTCCTTCATACTTCAGAAACCCTGTGTGTTTTTTCATCCTTGTTTTTCAGTAGGGATGAGCATTTCTTTTCAGGAACTGATGTTAGCTGGTGTTTGAACTTCAGTGGCTACAGACGTGTAAAGCACCCCTCTTCCATGGGGGATATATCTTTAAATTGGGAATCAGGAAACAAAACTCGGGGACATCTTTCACTGGTTTCCTGTTCTTCACTGATTCTCAGTTCATCATTTCACCACTTGCTCTACCTACTGGAAAAATAGAGGACTTTTTTGGCCAATGTCCTATAGTTGTTCCACAAGAAGGGTACCTCTAGAGAAATTAATAGCTGGGATGTAGAGCCCACAGACAACAGTAAAAAGATGCTCAATCAGTGTGCTTGGGGCAAAGTCCTTTCTGCAAGGACAGGGCTTTGCAAATCAGATCCCAAAGCACATCTTCTATGAGAAAGCACCTAGAGATTCATAAAATAAGTGGGCAGGAAGGCTGGAGTCACCTGTGGAGGTGAGGGACTAGGTAAGAGCCACGGTAAGGGTCCCTGGCAAGTGAACAAAATGGTCAGATCCTGGAGGCAAGACCAAGTGGCTTGAACTCGGTAAGACAGGGAAGAGGAGGTGGCTGAGAAAAGTCTCGTCGTTCATGCCAAAGCAGCATCTTCTTTTGCTGGCTGCTCATTCCTTGTGCTGCCGAGGTGTGCTTTCCTTCTTTAGTTGTTTGCAATTCTTCCTTCTTGAAAAGCTGCTTTCGGTGTCGGTCACCATCATGGTCATGGTCATGTCGGTCACCATCACCATCATGGTTTATTACAGTGTCATTTTCAGGTTACACCAACATCATGAAAGCAAAAGATGTGTAAATCTTGTCTCGTTTACTCAGCTGCAGAGTCATTCAGGGGCATCTTCTGCTTGTGCTGATCATCTTTAAGCAATAGATTGGGCTGCAGACCTGGAAATGCGTCGCATACTTCTTAGCATTGCAGCCACTGGAGTAGTGAAGATGGGGACAAGTCCTGAAGGATGCATCAGCGAAAGCCTCCACAAATCACAAGATCTAGTTCTACTGTTCCGTATAATTAGCGATTAAAATGAGGAAAAACAAAGCAGCAATTTTCTTATTGATCCCTCAGCAAATAGTTCTGTCTATTTTCTTCTGTATTGTTTCTTCTTATTAAATAGCCTTGAATAAGAAATGTCAGTCACATGAATTTAGATTCCTGGTGCTTCAGACAGAAATCAAAGCAGAATTGAATGAGGAAAGATAATTAGAGAGAGGAATTCCACCTCCACAGACTTCTTCCCTTGCTCAACGAGTGCTGATTTTATCTAAATTGCTAAAGCGGTGAGCAAATGAGAGGTGATGGGAATTATAGATTGCAGACGCTGAGACAAAGCAAAGGAAGCTTTAATTAGTGCATTTTAGGGTAGAAATGATTTTCCTGGGGATAAATTATTTGACTCAAGACATATGGAGCTTCTTAGAGGTGAACCGAAAAGCTTTTTACCTGCCAGAACCAGGGCTCACAGATCATATTTGTCTTGTAGAAGTGAGTGACACATCACTGGGGTCTGGAACACATGGGGATGAATCCTCCTTTCTTTTGCATCTCACTTTTTTCTTTTTTTTTTAATATGGAGAAATTCCCATTGCTGCAGATTCCCACCCATGCAACAGAAAGCAGAATGTTTTCCAATATCCACGTTTACTCATTCAAGTGTTAGTGATGCTAAGGAATTGAGAGTTATGTATTGAACCTACAGGTGCTGTAGAAGAGAAGGCTGTGGGGAGGCCTTCTAGCAGCCTTCCAGTACCTAAAGAAGACCTACAAGAAAGCTGGAGAGGGGCTTTTTACAAGGATGTGTGATGATAGAACATGGGGAAATGGCTTTAAACTGGTAGAGGGGAGATTTAGATTAGATCTGAGGAAGAAATTCTTCACTCTGAGGCTGGTGAGGCACTGGAACAGGTTGCCGAGGGAAGCTGTGGATGCTCCATCCCTGGAGGTGATCTAGGCCAGGTTGGATGAGGCTTTGAGCAACCTGGTCTAGTGGAAGGTGTCCCTGCCCATGGCAGGGGGATTGGAACTAGATGATCATCAAAGTCACTTCCAACTTAAACTGTTCTGTAATTCTATGATTCTACTGAAAGGAAGTTATTAGTTATTCTCCTTTCAAATTCTCCTCTTATTCTCCTTTCTTAGTTTTGTTGTCATCTTTTCATCACACTTGCACACACATAAAAACACGGGAACCTTTAAAACACTGCCCTTGCTATTTCCCAGTGGATTTCCACAGCCTTTCAGAGGGTGTGGAAGCAAAGAGACAACTCTCTGCTGTTTGACGGTAGGTAGAGATTCCTGTTGGAATTGATGGAGCTGAAAGGAAACCGTTTAGCTGGGTGCTTTAATCCAGAACTCCCTGACTTCAGCAGAATTATTCAGGCTCTTAGTTGTTTACGTATTGTGTGTGAGGCAGTTGCTCACAAGCCCTGTTGAAACAGGCTGGAGTAGGGCCAGGGCCAGCCGTAGGGGTTATAG